CCATCCACGACAACAAATTTTTTCCTTTCTTCCTTGTACGGGCTCCTGAACCAAATCTTCCACCGTGTATTTCGAGAACACCCTTACACACAACTATGGTCCGGCGCAGGTCAAATTTGAGCAGCGCACTTTCCTCTTATGACGTCTGATTTGAAAAACCGGCGCCGATTTTCACCACTCGGGCTTCTTTTCAATTTCTCGAGAACTTCTTCTGGGGCTAGGTTCGCCAAATTTCACAGATACACAGCTTAAGGTACTAGCTTCCAAATGGTATAGTAGCCCGCTGCTCTATCCCCTTTGCTTTTCTGCCATTCCTCTATATGTAGCGGCACGTTTGAATGGGATGACCTAATATAAGAGTTCACCTAACAGCCTCTTTGGCACAATAGGACAGAAACTGTTGAGGACAAAAGCCTATTAGGCTCAGCAGCCTTTGGAGGGGGAAAATGCTTAGAAGGGCGAAGAACAGGTGAGGAAGCGAGGCAGAAATTGGGATTTCTGGCAGTTGCTGAAATTGGAGAGCCTATGATCCATTTATCTTGAAGTACTGTCTAGGATGTGTGTAATTAAGTTGTGAAAAGGTTACGATCATCACGTGTTCAGGTGCCGGCCACAATGACGTTGAGTTGCATGCTGCATATCTCGAACGCCTTCGAAATTTCATTGACAGCGAGGCTAGACGTTCCAAAGACGACATTGGTGTTCGCGTGTAGCACTGATCGGTATCGTACAAGTTTTCCGCTTTATGAACTCTTTCAGGCATTAATTACCACATCCAGTCTGTGATATGCTGGTAGTATTGTTTTATTCTTCCTTATCATATCTTGTCGTGCCTGCTATACAAAGCTTATGGCAGACTATCAAGCACGTGGTTTTTTTTTCTCATCAGCACCCACCTTCAAGCCTTGAATCTATGTGTTCATCATCAATGATCTGATCTTTCGATAATTTAAAGATTTTTATCTTACGGTTGACATTATGGTATTTGTGAAAGTGAGAAATTGTATTCCATTGTTCGTATTATTCTTGAACTTTCATTCCATTCATCAAGCCCATAAGCATACTTTGACTTACTTTTCTTACACATACATGGTTCTAAATGCTCGCTCAATTGCTCCTTTTCGTACTTTCCATCGCCCGAATAAAGGCTGCTGGGTTCCGAATTTCGTGTGAATTTTTTTATCGTGAATCATCTTTGTTGACGCACTCAACGAATACGTTTTCTCTGATTTTATATACGAATTGTCAACGAAAGTATTTAGTATCCGAATTTGACATATTAGCCTCATATTGTAGGTTTCCCAGTTTCTGTCAAAATATTTATTTGATGCGTAACTCTAGCACACTCGTTGTGAATTCTCATTATAAACGTCTTTGTGCTGCTAGTTTGTGATATGCATGTAACTAAAAGCTCAAGAAGGTTTCAGCGTAAATCAGTCCATTTCTGGATGCGCCACGTGCTCCTTTTTCATTCCAAGTTCGTACTAGTGATCATTCGTTTCGATTGCAATTTAGCCCATGCAGTAGCCTTGAGGGGGGGGAGGGGTGCAGAGCAGCTGTTCAATGCTTTGACCCTATCAAAGGGCTTGGTAAGGGCTAATGCCGTTTGGACTCCAGAATTCGGCTCCGAGCTCATTTTCAAATTGCCTAAGCCACCAAATCCACTAAAAACTTGTATATAGGGGTAATTCAACATCCTGATTACGAGTATGACACTCATTCTTGGCGGGCAAGAGAGACACTACGATTACCTCCTGGGCTCAGCCTTAGCAGAGCGCAGTAACCGTAGTGTCATCCATTAGCGCCAGCGCCAAAAATGATGTGCCATATTCGTAATCAGGATGTTGAATTACCCTATATAACAGTTTTTTAGCGGATTGGTGATTATGCCACTTTTAAAAATGAGCTCTGGATCGAACTTCTGGAGTCCAAAGCATTAGCCCTTGGTAAGGTTCCGGAATCGGGCGCGCAGTAATCAGCGCCACTTGTCACCAAACCGCCTCCCCCATAGTTGCCAATCAGTTGAATTTCTCATTGATAATAAATGATCTAGTCCTAATGGACTAGTAGTAGTTAGTAAAATCTGAAAGGCACTTTCGTTCAGCACGCCAAGAATTACGTTCTAACCGGTTCTTTAAGCAGGTAAATGACAACAACTGGTGAAAAACGACCGACAAATGATTATGCGTAAAGCAGCCACGTCGCTTGCCAAAAGAAAAAACGGGTTGTCACGCGCCAAACAGCCGCGCAGACACGCCCCATAATCCGCCGCGAACAGCTAAGACCTCAGTGGGCTTCTCACTTACTCAAGTAGACATCATCCCTTGACAGATGTTCTGGCCCCTTCTCATAAGGCGTCACGGAGGCACATTTGGAAGAAAAAGAAAAGTCACCCATAATAAGAATAGTGTAAATTTGAGCAGCTCTTAAATCCACCCATGACCACATTCGTACGGAGCATTCCTGCTTTCCGGATATGGAGTGAGGGCGAAAAAGGGATTGGTGTAATATGTAGTGAGGAATAGCCCACTCATTCGGAAACCATAGAGCGTGGTCCGAGTCCGTCCCAGAGTCAAACCCTTTGCCGAATACTAAACGTTCTAATGCTTTGTGGGAGTTGAATGAGATGAGTGATCCTGCCCTCCGAAGCGATTCACTGATGCTCTTGTAGGCTAGCGGGCGATGTCATCAATTCCCAACGGCCTTTGATTCTCTCCACTAGCGGAATTTCCAGCATACCTAATCGCCGGTTCTTGCGAGTCGTGGTTTCTCTACACTGACATTAAGACGCAATTCCACCATAGGCACCGTAAAAGCTTATCTTCGTATTATAACTAGTAAACCTGTGTTCTTCATAGTTATTTTTTCTTTCATGAACCTTAAAAATTATTCGAGGAGAAGCTGAAGCACAAAATCACCAAGTATTAAGGGATACTGGATGTTGAAGAGCTTTAAGGTCTCTAGTACTCAAAGCCTTGGCAATGCCTGAACCTGAATGGCGTAAACATCACAATTATACTCCCACGCTTGGATATTTAAAAAGGTCCATTATATCGATTGGCATTCCCAAGCGGTTGAAGACAGAGCTCTTTTCTTAAGGCAGTTGGTACGATAGTTTGGTACTCAGCCTTAAAATGCTAGCAAGGCCCTATATAACGGGAAAATGGATGAAAAAACGAAGTGAAACGGTAAAAACTGAGAAGAAAAGCCTTCGTTCCTAACAAAACGCAGTTTCGAATTAGTTCACGCTGGCATCGTGACAATAATCGCTACGTAGACACGGGTGCATGTATGTGCTCATGTATGCATGCAGCACAGCACGCTTCATATCAATCCCTTTTCTTCATATTTTACTTATGGTTAGCAAATGAAGCAATGCGAGCATCAGGTACGGTCGTCCATTTGTGGGCGGGCGGGTGCGTGGGCGTACGGGTTGATATGTTGTAGCTTGATAAGGCCTTACAAGGGTACTTTCTGTGAAAAAGGCGCTACACAACGCTTGCTCAGGGTCGGAGAATTCCGTACTGCCAGGCTTCGTAATTCCTATTCATTTTAGGGATTTATCGTTCCAACTACTTTTGGGCAATCTTGACAGCTCACGAAAGAAGAAGTCTGAATAAACTATACAAAAAACGCAGACTGTTCAAGTTTCATTGGGAGGATTCGTAAAACCACAGTTTCAAATTCTAACAAGCATAACAAAAACTAACCGTAACAACAAGAGTGAAGAAAAGCAGCAACAACAACAACAATGGTTCCCGGAACCTTTGAATACAACATAAAACAACTACTGTGAACACCCTCTCCGCCTTTACTAAATAACCCTAAACAACGCCCCGTTTAAACTTCTCATATGCTTGAAGCATATGGCGTTCTGTACGTGGCACGATTGATGTTAAAGTTTCTTCAAAGTGCTGCCATCGTACTTCCGTTGCTTCTATGTTCTCTCGCATTGCAAGTAGTGCCGCTTGACGACAAACGGCCACTAGTTCAGCTCCCGAGTAACCTAGAACTTCTCAGTTGTGTACACTGCCTTACTACCCAAAAAATATGTAACTAATCGGAGAATAATCAGGTTCCACAATAATGCCAAAAAAACATAAGACTGGCAAATTTCATGGATTAAGTGCTCCTAATTGTCCGCGCTAAAGATTTTCCATCCATCAGATAGAAGCATACCTTCGGTTTTGTTAACTAGTTTTTCAATAATATCATCCTCAGCTAAGGCCATACGTTTTGTCCTCATTTCGATGATAGCGCGCCGTGTTTTAGGACATGGGAGACCAACGTATATTGCACGATCAAGACGACCTGAATTCAGCAACTACAAGATACTTGGCAAAATAGGCTCAATATTTATACTACCGTAACATTCAAAAGTTCAAAAATGAAATACAAAAAAAAATTCATAACAGACCACCGTACTGCGTTCTATGCATATCTAACTTTTCATCGATGTTATTTACAAAAAAAAATCGACGCAGTTCGGCTTGGGAGGGCCACTTTGGCTTGTTCCTTTAGCTAGTTCGTGTTAACTAACAGGTCTCACTATGGTAAAACTTGTGAACTGGTGTAAAGCTGCGAAAGCTGATACGAGTGAACCCTTTGGCTAAAAGAATTTACAGGTCTTCAGATGGCCTGTACGGGCTTCGCCGATGACCGTTTGTTTCCCTACAGTTTCATCACCTTAATGAGATATGCAAACGCTTGCGAACGTGCGAAGTGGTATGACCTTTACTGTAAATGGTTGTATAACCTTCATATCAGTATACTGTGTTCAC